CTTTTTAGCAACTGGCAAACATCAGTGCCCCCTTTATGGCTGCTTAATCTGCAGTTACAACCTTTACATGTCGGGCCGTTTTCAATATATGCAACTGTGTTCGATCTGTGGGTACAGATTAGGCTAGTGGTTTCCAAATCTAGAGGTGTGCAGGAACCACTCAGCCTCGTGCTTCATGTCCTTCACAGATTCAAAACGGATGACGGTACTTTGAACACGTGTTAAGTAACACAAATCAGCACTTGCATTTTACTGAAGATCATATCGAGCATCTACCTAAGCTAATGGAAGAAACACTGCAGGATTATGCAAAATACTGGCCAAATCTTGCTCACTTTAGCAGTCTTCATGAAGACCAGAAGGATTTGGTCCAAAAGCATCAGATTAAGAGGATCAATACCTGCTACCGACTATCTTAAAGCCGAGAAACATATTTTTCTACCAACCCACCTGAAGATTTATAATATATTAAGGAACATTAAGAAGAAGAAGAAAAAGAAGAAAAGCTAAATGGGCCAAAAGCAAACAAAAGAAACACGTTCTCTTGAGACTGCTAATGCTGGCAGACAATAGCGCAGAGAGAACTCCTCTGACAAATCTCTGAAGTCTTCAATACAGCATGCTAGTGGTCCATGTTAATGAGATTTGCTCAGATACTTTTTAAATTACTCCAAAACGTCTTAATCTATTTTCTACATCTTCTTGACCCAACTGCTTCAGAAAAGTCACAGCTTCACCCATCTCTGGACTAAACTTTTCATTCAAATAAGTAAGGTCTTCAAGTAGTTTGTGTTTCCAAAGGCCCACACACAACCTTTTTAGGGTTTACCCCAAAACATGCAGGTAATATTGTGATTTCTATTACTAGAGATTACAGAAACACTTTGCACCACACCGTACCTTTCAATTTGAGTAACTCAAAGGTCTTAACAAGCAGGGTATTACGACCTCTCCCAACAATCCAGAAGTAAATAAATCCAGTCTTAGATGTGGCCTGACCGACACTCATCGCTCCAGCTACAGGACTAGTGCCCCACCAGCAAGTGAGCAGCAGGCATCAATGGGGGTCTCTCAGATCCCTATTTCCTGCTGGGGATGATACAAGCACTCACGCAAAATGCTTCCAGTACGGCTCTATGTAATTTGGGCCTGTTGCAGAGAAAACATTGGAGAAAATGTCCAAGAACCAGGTTGTCTGCTCCATTACAGACTTTCTTATGAATGCACCCAAGTCACAGGACCCATATTCAGAAGTAGCCGCACACAGCGTCTTCTAGGAACAATGGCTATTTCTGCTCCGTAATATGCTTTAAGACCATTAGGTCAAAAGGAAGAAAAATCAAGGTGCCAAGCTCAGTAAGGAAAACATCACCCTACTAACTTCCCACTGCCTGACGTGCAAGCATCGCTGCCACCCAGCCGGTACAGAAAACAGCAGTAAGGACGTCGCCAGCACGCCTTCTGGAAAGCCACTAGCAAGGAAGTGTGCTGGGGAGAAACCGCACACGCTGTTGAGCCCTTCATAAACAGAAACTTCCCTGAAAAAGTTTGTTTCAGGGCTTCGACTTTTGCCTGGAGCTCCTCCTGCTATGGCCAGCGAAGATGTGGCACAGCGACATGCCAACCTGGTTTGGAGCTATGACTCTTCCTGATGAAACAAAGTGGTGGGACTATTGGGAAAAAATGATTTTTTTTTTTTTGGTCCCAGAACCACTTTGTTTTCGACATAGAAAACCTGCACAATCCATTTTTTGTACTGAGCTTAGGAAAAAAAAGTCCTTCTGACCTTTCTCCTGGCTTGAAGGGAAGGGAGGAGGAAATATACATATGTAAAAAAGTTAAAGCTCAAACCCACAGATTTATCTGTTGATCATCTCATTCGGTTCTGAGCTACAGCAGGCAGCTTCTGTTTTATTAACAATATTTAATCAGCATTTAACTCTGACAAGCGTTAAGATTTGAAACTTTAAGTGCAACTTTGCTAAATCCTTTGTGTTGATTTTTTTCCCCGTTAAAGGTTTTCTAAAGGATTCTATCTTTGCTATCTTAAAAGTCTGCATGTGTCTTTTGTTATCAATAATGTACAACTTTAGTAGCATGTTTTGTACTTTTCAATTTTTCAGCATGCAAGCTATCCCTGATTTACAGTGCTCGCTGAATGGTGTTTGATTATTGAAAATGCTTTTACACACATTTAAAAAAATGACTGCTCCTGGAAAACTAACACTATTGTCCATAATTCTGTAAAAATACATTTCCCCTCCCTTCTCCCCAAATCAAACATTTCAATTCAAATTCTTACTTTGAGGAAAAACTGGCATATAATTAGGCATTATGCCTAACAGTGCTAAGTAAAGGAGAACGTAAACATCTTAATTCTGAAGGTTTAACCATCAAAGCCCCTTGCTGTATCTATTCTGTTATTCGCGCCTCCATTCAGATCTCCGTGGAGGTCACAGAAAAAAGAGAAAGCAAACAAAACACGCAGTATAAAAATCTATTTTACCGGCTCTGTCCTGTATCCCGCCCCGCATGCCCGAGGCCAGGCTCGCACGCAGTGCTGGGACGCCCGGGGCCACGCGGCCGCTCCTCAAGGAGTGCAGAGTCCTGCTCTGTAACTGCACTGAGCGGCTTAATCGCTAACTCGGAAGATGGGATTTCACCTGAAATTAAGCTATCAAGCAATTGAGCTCAAACTCAATCAACCAAACCCTTAACCTTCCCTGTTTAAGTGGCACTGCTCTAATTAGGACTCTATCGCTATTTCCATTACTATCTCCTATTCTCATGGTTTATTATCTCGGCAGTTTCAATTCTCACCCAGTTGAAATTTGACATCCAGTTTCTTGGACCACATATCATTCATTATGGCTTTATTTCACGAAATATGTTTCAAGATTATGGACCTATCCTGCAGCAAATAGGTTTTCATTGAAAATAGTACCCCTCACTGCAGCGGAAGCAGGACAGAGCCAAACCTTCTCAGAGAAACAAGTCCTAACATTAAAGGACACATAGAACAACTTATTTTTTCATCCAGTTGTGAATTCTGTTGTGCAGTTTGAAACACGTGCTTGAACATACATCCCCGCATGCATACACGGTAGCTGATCCACGGTGTTTTGTCCAGTCCTCAGAGTCTTCCTACTGAGCCTGGATCACCTTCTAGGAGACAGAGTTTGGCTGAACCCTACTTACCAGCTCTGCCCGGGGGTGAGACTCAATAACCTACGATACTACTCAGGAGGTCAGACTGAAAGATCTAACGGTCTTTTCCAGTGATACATTCTACGAATCACCCAAACTGCTTACTGCTGAAGGATGCGCGCCAGAGGGTACCTCTGGCACCTGTGGTGTCCTGATGGTAGCAATACAAAATATGTCTGCTTTTGGAGCCACGGCCTACAAACTTCAGGCTAGTCTAAAGGTAGTGTTTTGCATTTATCACAACCAAAATTCCTTTTCCTGGGTCACACAGCGTCATGGCCACACATGAACTCCCACGGCTCCACAAGAATCCCATAAATTCTGAGGCCCTCTGATGCACCTGGGACTTAAAATTTTTCCCTTCTTCACAAAAACTCAAAGGGGGAACACCACTGCAGGGCAAGGAACCACCATCTTCTTAAACTGCAGGATCTGCTTCTTCTTCAATAGCTGAAATGCATCTAATACATCATGGGCTCCACCATAAAAACCCCATTAATATTCAAATCTTGAAGAGAGGCATATATCATACAGCTGACATACACGACTGGCATGGCCAAGGATTGCAATATTCACTTGAACTTCATGAATTTCATCCTCACTAAATAGATATTTTTGGCAACAAAGAACTGGAAAAAAAAAAAAAACCCCACATCATCCTCAGATCTATTTTAATTTAAAACAGAAGAGAACAGGGACATTTTTTCCCCCTTGAAGTACATTTTAATAAAATTAAAAATAAAAATAGCTCTAATTCACTTTGATGCATTTAGTCATTCTGTAAAATTCTGTTTAAAATGAAATCACCATTTTATATTCAAACAAGGTCAAGAGAACAGCACTAACGAGCACTGACATCACAGCGAACAGCAGCCACTGCTCAACGCTTACATCAGTGTTGCTTGTTGCTATGGTGCTTAACCGACTATTAATTTCTGAAAGAAGGTGATTATAAAGCAGCCATATGAACCTCAGTCAGATGACACCCTTCAGTACCAAACACTGATCTGCGTTACTCTTCTCTTCTGCAAGTTAATTTTGTGAATCACCAGTTTTGTGATGTTAATATTCCTTTCCAACTCGAAACTTTGGACTAGAAGAGAGGCAAGGAGTTAATTTAGAAGCAAGGGACTTTCACGTTGCTTTAAATAAAAATCATTTTGCAGAGAGTGGTATCTCTTTCCTTTTCGCTACGCTCCAAAAGACTAAAAAGCATGTGTTTTAATTTTTGCAGTGATAATAAGCAATCAAATTAACAGCTAAATCCTGCTCTCCTGCTCTGCTCAACGTGCTGCTGTAAATCCAGGAGTGTCTCAGCCTGGGACGAAGCAGCACTGAAGCTGGCTTGACCATTCCCCAGGGATTTGCCCCGGCAAGGGGACCTTGCCGCAGGGCTGTGCCGCTGCAGCTCCCAGCCCAGCACCCATGGATGCTGGGCCATGGACTCGGCCATATGGCCACCGAGACCAGCCACAGCAGGGTCTTCCCATCTGCACACAGGCTCTGTCCGGTTACCAAACAGCCTTCTCAGAACATGGCTGAAAGCCAAGAAGTGCATCTTTGTGGCCTTGCTCCTAAAATGCAACTGGGCACCTAAACCATTGGCTTCCCAGGCAAAACACGGGTTTAAGGCACCGCGGTGGCTCCAAAAGCTTAGCTCCAAGCCCAACGCTGTGCTCTTTATCCAGGTTGCCAGAAGAGCCTTTACTTGTGCAGCTCCTGGGGTTTGCAGGATCGGAGCCTTCCTTCAGACATGCTTCAGAAACTGTGTGCAAAATATTATTTGTGTTTACCTTCTTCAGTTGCTCCTGTAAAGCAATCTTCAGCTACAGCCACCCAAAAAGGTCACTCTTCTTACCCTGCAGAGAAAGAAGGTAACACACGTGACTGCTGGGTCAGTGTCAGCAACAACACCCAAAGCATTTTCATTGGCACCACATTTGCAAGTACAAACATAAATAAAGCAACAAATGAATCTAATCGTGTTTAATGGTGAATGACTTTCAGAGAGAGTTAATAAAAACAATCAAGTCACAGGACTGCTGCTTATCAGTAC